TGCTTCTAGCCTTAATTAAAGTTTAAACAGCCTATAAAATTCTTCGCGTGGCTGCTTGGTTAGCATACATTATTCGCAAATTGCTTTAACCTGTGCCAGGCTCAATAAGGTTATATCTAATACTATCTTACTATTGCACCTTTTGTACTTGTTTTTGGCCTTGGTCCTTTGACTAATATTCACGTGCAACCAACTAGGGAAATCCATTGGCATCTGTCTCCAGTTTAGCGTCATGCCTATTCTATTTTATTTAAATATTTATATTTTGATCTTTTCAAAACTCAAAAACCTTTGCTCTTTCCTACCACCGAACAGAGTTCGCCAGTGACCGCTTGGGTAGCTGCCCTGGTCTCCTTGAGGCTACACTTGATTGCCTTTTCCATCTGCCTGATCGGCTGCCCTCCAGTCGGCGCTTCGACTTGCTTGTATTGACATTATGCCTTTTAGTAAACCTTTGCGAACACTGTCCAGAAAATCGAACTCGTCTGGTTCATCTCGACATTGCTACAGAACCGCCACCACCTACACCTGCAGAGCTATCTTATTTGCGTGCCGAGCGCCGTCGTTTAGCTCAGGCCCGTCAAGCACGGCGGAAGGCCGCTGCAGAGGCAGCTGCGGCTCGCCAGAGGGCATTTGCTGCATCTGGGAAACCCGTTTATCGTCGACCATTGCCACTCTCTAGCTCCGCCGGACTTTTGTGTGGCAAAAATCCACTCTGCAGCCAATTATCTGATGATGACGACGACGACTTAGATGATATCGATGACAACGATGACCTCGACGATCTTAACGAAGTTGAGAGTGGTGTTGCGGATTGTTCCGGGAATGTTGAAAATGGAGCCAAACTAAGCAATCTTGCAGCTATCACTGCAGCTTGGTTTGATATGCGCCGAAAAAAACCTATCATGACGGGAGCTCTGGATGAGATTGTTAAAGTAGTGTTTATCCTTTATCTCTAACCTATCATGTTATCTTATCTCCATTTTTCCTTTATTTTTCTGATCTCTATTCGTATTAGGTAACATAACGTCTACCTTTGCTCATTCTATGTTTTTTTATATTAGATTGTTTTTTTTCACCTTATGGTGAATGTCCATAAGGGGTTTGTCTTTGGGGCCCCGTTAAACTCCATTTTATCGTAGATATGAAGATCAAG